TATCTTCATTGAAAGAATATATTAAAACACAGGTTATGCTAAATTTAAATTTTGTCTTTTTAAAATGATGATGTAAATTTTTGTTTAACTCCGTAATTCTTTTAAGTACATCCTCAAAAAAATAAGCACACAAAAATTACTAATATTTTAATATGATTACAAAAATCATTTATTTTCTTACGATTCATAGTAAATAAATACTTATAAGTATATAAATTATATTTAAATTTATAATGAGTAAATTAAAATTATAAAATAATTTTTAATTTTTAATAATATCTTTCAAAAAGTAATAAAATTTAATTTAAATATAGACCTAAAAGATGACAAATTGAAAATTAAAAAAAAAAAGTTAAGAATATCAATTATTATCTCTATCAATGTATGTGTGTGGTTTTAATATATTTTTCATGTCGACTTGAAGGTACTCAATTTTTTTTACCCCTGTATTGTTGTATTCTTATCCTGCACAACATTCATTATCAAGAAAGATGAAACATATATTTTCTTCTTTCATTATTATTTTTATTATTGTTGTTTAGTTTTAGATGTTTTGTTTTACTGATATTAATAAATGAAAAACGAGAAGTTTATATAATTTGTATAAAAAGATATAATGGTAACTTTTTATTTTTTATTTAATGTACTAAACATTAATTATAATTATTTGTTAACGTAAAATAGTTAATTTTGTTGGAGGAATGAAGGAAAGAAAATCTATTAACGTTGAATCAAATGTATCGATACATTTCACACAAAAAAAATGAACCTTTTACAACAAATATATGAAAATATAGACATTAGTATTAGAATACTTTATTTTTTTTATAGAAGAATTACACATTGATAAAAAATAAAAAAAAAATAAAAAATAAAAAGCTTGAGATATTTTCAGTCACCTTAATTCTTTTTTTCCTTATTTTTCTTCTATTTTCTATTTGTCTTCTCACATAAATCATAATTTATTATTTATATATTTTTCAATCAATTATTTTTTACATAACCAAATAAAGATTATATAATATCGTTCCAATTAGTATTAAGTAACTAATAGTTTAAAATTTAAATTAATTAGTAATTATATATTAATTATTGTATTAATCAAAAATCAAGAAATTGAATTTGATTAAAAAATAAATTATAAAAAAATATAAATACTGTGTAATTATTATTAATTATAAAAAAAATGATCACATCTACAATGTTGCTAAAATTATTATGGAATAACTGATATTAACAATTTGAATTAAATTTGATTTTATCAGTGATTTTATTAAGAATTAAATTTGATTAAATTCTCGAATAAAAAAATAACAAAGAGTATATTCATTATTATTAACTACAAACAAACAGTAAATCAGTATTAATATTAATTGTAAGATATAATAACTCATAATGAAAATAATTTATTGAATTAACTTTTTTTACTCTAGCTATTAAAAATTAATGAAAGTAATAAGATTGTTAAAGTTTTTTTTTTTTTACTAAGATTGTTAAAGTTAGTGATTTGTTTCCGGAGCTCAATAAAAAAATCACTTGGACCTTAATCAATATTTTGTTAATTTGTGAATACTTTGTATTTTATTTTGTTTAAAAAATATTTAATTTATATTTTAATATGTATAGTCATTTTATATTAGATGCAACGTACAGGAAACAAAAAGTACATGCAGGAATAATTAATCTTACAAAGTAAGCCATAACTCCAATATATATATATATATATATGATCTATCCAAACAAATCATTCAATTCCTTTATGTACCTAACTACTTTCCAATACCATATACAATATACCTTCCCCAACTCAACTTGAATCATTTAATCAAACTAATTCAGAACATGTAAAACCGAATTAATTCCCTGAAAGTTCATATAATCTTATAGCAGTTTCCATCTTTATACATGGAGCAAGTTATTTCCCCTCCCATGCCAAACATGCACGTAACACAAGCAGTGCTCCATTTTTTTCCTTTCCTTTTTTCTTTCCGTTGCTATTCTTCTGCTAAGTTAGTGTGTTGAAACACTCTGAACTGCATTATTGTGTTTTGTAGACTGCAACATCAGAAAAAGAAGAAAAAAAAAATCAATTCCTTCGTGGGTTATCTTCATTAATTACCCTAGCTAGCTAGCTAGTTAATCATCAAATCTCAGGCCACGAAATCTCTCAACAACTGTGCAGCGAACCTCTTTCTGTTTTGAATGTCAATGCTCTCATAACTTGTGCCTGAATGAGAAGAAGGAGGAGTGTTGATGGCACCACAAAACTCATTTTCATTGGTTCTCATTCCCAAGTGCATATTCTGTGAGAGGAATCCATGCTGAGTTCCTGAGAGAGAAAGGTTCTCACTGTGTGGAAGTCCTAGAGTGAGGGAAACTCCGTTTCCGTGAAACCTAGGAGTCAGTTGTTGCTCAGTGACATGATGAAACCTTCCAATGTCTTCCATACCAAATGCTCCAAAATGATGGTTTTCAATGCCAAACAACTTTGTGTTTCCTTCTCTAGTGTTTGTCTCTCCATGATGAGGCTTCATTTCCATGTCCACGATGCTACCTGGAGAGTTCTGCATTTCGGAAGTGCTTCTAGGCTTGTTTGGACTTTGCATGTTGGAATTGGAGATCTCTGTTGGGGAAGTGGTTTGGTTGTTGAAGCTTTCTGCCTTGTTTGATTGGTGAATATTATTCTGGTCAAGTCTCATGGCACTTGATTCTTGTGCAGCATTAGCTTCTGATTCTTTTGATCTGTTTGTGTTGTTATCCTGAGACCCATTATTCTGCTCTTGCTTCACCTCTTCCATGTACATTTCTTCAACCATTGGTTTCCATAGCCGAACTCGGGCATTTATGAACCAATTAGACACCTGCATTATAAACTTATCAATGCATAACTTTCTATAGACATTCATAATTAGATCCTCTTCAATCATCGCATGTGCATGATCTCTATTTACGTGACAAAAAATTATTAAGTAATTCTCAACTAGATTCCTAATTCTTCTATATAACACATGTAATTAAATATTATTAATTTATTTTGTAAATTAAAATATTTAAATTCATGTCATGTATGAATACTTAGGGTCATAGACATTTAGTAATTTGAATTATCTAATAATTTTTTTACTATATACTATCTTATCTATTTCTCATTTTAAGAGAAGAAATCAATACTATTATAGTCACATAATAAATGTCATATTAGAATTAAAAAATAAATTACAAAATAAATGTTAAAATAGTCAATCAATGTGGTATTAATAAATTTTTTTATTCATACCTCTAATAAATAATTAATCTTACAAAGTAAGCCATAACTCCAATATATATATATATATATGATCTATCCAAACAAATCATTCAATTCCTTTATGTACCTAACTACTTTCCAATACCATATACAATATACCTTCCCCAAACTTAGCTCTCTTTTTTTTTTAAATTTTATTTTGACGGAGTAGTGAAAAGTAAATATTCCTCGAATTTAACAATTTTTCTCTATCTTGAGTCTTTAAATATTTAATAAGTAGACTTGTGTAAATATTCCTCGAATTTAACAATTTTCTCTATCTTGAGTTGAGACATTATTTTCTTCTAAATCTTTCCTTTTATTTTTCGGCAATCTTCAAAATCTTGTTAAACAAATATAGTTTTTGAAAATTGAAAACGCAGTTTATAAAACATTTTTTTTATAAGCAAAATAAATTAAAGGGAATACAATGGTATCCCAATCCATTACAAAATACAAAGTCACCTAAACAAAATCTAACGTAATCTATATAAAAGATAATCACCAGATTGTAATGTCTACTAGCATTACAAAACTAGGACCATAAAATGTTATCTAATAATCAAACAATTTCAGTTTATAAAACATTATCCCTTTCTAATCTAATTAAGTAGGATAATTAATTAAGTAACTCACTTTTGTAAACAATAAGACAACAATTACTTAAATTGACTTTTAGTATATATCTCAGTAATACCAAAATAAGTCATATATATCACTGTTTTGATCTGTTTATTTAGTAGTCTTAGAAATATACACGCTTAGTTTTATAAAATTGTTTTAAATTACATAAATTTAACAGTAGAATTATAGTACTTTTAAGGCAAGAAACAAATATTATATTCTTCTTCGTAAAACCTTAATTTAATAGTTGAATGTCATGAATCCTAACCAATCCAAATGGAGTCATGTGAATAATTTTGCTCAAGATGGATATGAAGATCTCTAAACACTTTAATTATGTTATTTATAAGACTTGGAGTTAATAGCTTGCTTAAGGGAAGTTAAATTACTTTACACTACTTAAATCAACAAACATTAAATTTAATTTATACTCATTCAAAACCTTATTAGGAATTACTTCGTCTAACTTAACATATTATAATATATATATATATATATATATATATGCACCAAATGGTATAAAAATATCATTTTTTATAATTTGAAGTTATCACAATGGTTTAGAAATTTAATGTGTATACTTAATTACTCTTTAAAAATGGTGTAAAAATTTATTTCACGTAGTTATATAAGAAAATCTATATATTTTCCAAAGGTGTTATGTTATGGTTAAATGAATAATATTACACCGTATTTAATAATATCATATATTGTTTTTATTTCTCACGTAATTGATGTCCTTCTTTTTGTATATATACATCTTAAAAATTGAAAGGACATAAAATGTTTTCTCAAAATTATTATTAAAGAAATACATAAAATTGATGTAAACATATATATTTTGCATCTATGCGATAGTAGTTATATCAAAAGCTTATAAAAAGAATAGGTGATGAAAAGTATGTATCATAATAATTCATCTAAATCCCATGCATCCAAAATTTATGTACCTCCCCGTGCCTTTCATGCACCCCACCTACGTCGGTATCATGTAGTTACTGCAAATGCAGATGCAACGTACAGGAAACAAAAAGTACATGCAGGAATAATTAATCTTACAAAGTAAGCCATAACTCCAATATATATATATATATATGATCTATCCAAACAAATCATTCAATTCCTTTATGTACCTAACTACTTTCCAATACCATATACAATATACCTTCCCCAACTCAACTTGAATCATTTAATCAAACTAATTCAGAACATGTAAAACCGAATTAATTCCCTGAAAGTTCATATAATCTTATAGCAGTTTCCATCTTTATACATGGAGCAAGTTATTTCCCCTCCCATGCCAAACATGCACGTAACACAAGCAGTGCTCCATTTTTTTCCTTTCCTTTTTTCTTTCCGTTGCTATTCTTCTGCTAAGTTAGTGTGTTGAAACACTCTGAACTGCATTATTGTGTTTTGTAGACTGCAACATCAGAAAAAGAAGAAAAAAAAAATCAATTCCTTCGTGGGTTATCTTCATTAATTACCCTAGCTAGCTAGCTAGTTAATCATCAAATCTCAGGCCACGAAATCTCTCAACAACTGTGCAGCGAACCTCTTTCTGTTTTGAATGTCAATGCTCTCATAACTTGTGCCTGAATGAGAAGAAGGAGGAGTGTTGATGGCACCACAAAACTCATTTTCATTGGTTCTCATTCCCAAGTGCATATTCTGTGAGAGGAATCCATGCTGAGTTCCTGAGAGAGAAAGGTTCTCACTGTGTGGAAGTCCTAGAGTGAGGGAAACTCCGTTTCCGTGAAACCTAGGAGTCAGTTGTTGCTCAGTGACATGATGAAACCTTCCAATGTCTTCCATACCAAATGCTCCAAAATGATGGTTTTCAATGCCAAACAACTTTGTGTTTCCTTCTCTAGTGTTTGTCTCTCCATGATGAGGCTTCATTTCCATGTCCACGATGCTACCTGGAGAGTTCTGCATTTCGGAAGTGCTTCTAGGCTTGTTTGGACTTTGCATGTTGGAATTGGAGATCTCTGTTGGGGAAGTGGTTTGGTTGTTGAAGCTTTCTGCCTTGTTTGATTGGTGAATATTATTCTGGTCAAGTCTCATGGCACTTGATTCTTGTGCAGCATTAGCTTCTGATTCTTTTGATCTGTTTGTGTTGTTATCCTGAGACCCATTATTCTGCTCTTGCTTCACCTCTTCCATGTACATTTCTTCAACCATTGGTTTCCATAGCCGAACTCGGGCATTTATGAACCAATTAGACACCTGCATTATAAACTTATCAATGCATAACTTTCTATAGACATTCATAATTAGATCCTCTTCAATCATCGCATGTGCATGATCTCTATTTACGTGACAAAAAATTATTAAGTAATTCTCAACTAGATTCCTAATTCTTCTATATAACACATGTAATTAAATATTATTAATTTATTTTGTAAATTAAAATATTTAAATTCATGTCATGTATGAATACTTAGGGTCATAGACATTTAGTAATTTGAATTATCTAATAATTTTTTTACTATATACTATCTTATCTATTTCTCATTTTAAGAGAAGAAATCAATACTATTATAGTCACATAATAAATGTCATATTAGAATTAAAAAATAAATTACAAAATAAATGTTAAAATAGTCAATCAATGTGGTATTAATAAATTTTTTTATTCATACCTCTAATAATATTATTTAAAATTGATTGTCGGGTTGAATTGTTTTTGATAAAAAAAAATTTAATATAGGATTAATTATTATAAAATCATTATTCTTCATCTATTTATTAATTTTTTGTTTTTGTAAAATATCTAAAACAATACTTATTATATATGATGAAAGGAGATCAATTCGAAAATGTACTTCCAAATTGAAGTGCAAAAAATATAGCATAGTGCTCAGTTTACATATTAGTGTCACCTTTAAGGTATATATGGAATGAAATATATACCTGGCTCCGAGTAAGTCCAGTTTGTTTTGCAAGCATAACCTTATCAGAGTCCTTAGGATAGCTGCAGGCCATAATTAGAAACTCAAATTGAGTGAAAAACAAAAATGTTATAATCAGACTTTCTCATTTCTTACTTAACTTCGTATGATTTAAATTTCAGTGAATAATACAAAGTGCCAAATAATATATTACTATACTAGGATTTATATAGTTTGAAAATACAAATAATGTTCTCCATAAATACTGCTATATATAAAATATTATTACTTACGGGTGCAAGAAATGCTCAAAAAGCCAAGCACGAAGAACGGAAACAGCGCGTTCAGGCAAGCCTCTTTGGGGTCTCCAAGCATTGTGTTGGATCATTCCTAGCTGCTGCAATGCATGTTGTTGTCGTAGATGATGATCAACGTACCTAAGCCTCGAACCTTCTACCTTAACTCCTAAGCAGTCATCTTCACCTATGTTCTTGCTCGTTGTCTTGATTTGTGATGAGATTGCATCTTTCAGACACCGAAATTGCTTTGAGATTGTCTTCAAGGCAAGGGCTGTGTAAGACTTTGCAGCCCCTACTCCCGCTGCTTGCTCAAATGATGTTATCACAACTTGCATTTGGTGGTGATACTGTCGGTACCTTTGCTCCACCTTGCAAATGTTCACAACAAAATACTTATTAATATAACAATAGTTGCTGTAGCTTGTGACATATTTGTAGGTTGCTTCAGTTAGTGGATTTTTTTTTCTTTGATACTTAGAAAAGATTAGGATGGAAGACAATGAAAATTGACAATAATTCTGTGTGCATTTATCTCGATTTTATCACTAGGTCAACATAGTAGTGTTACTATGGTTAGTTGATTGACTGTGCTGGGTTAAAAAGTGTTTTTGTGTGGTGATTAATCCATAAAAGGAAATAAAAGATTTAGACACCTCAAAATGCTAAACTACATTTAAAAAGAGAGAAAAAAATAGTAGAAAAAAGTGACGGGTTAATAGGAATAAAATGTGATAGACAGGTAGATAGAAAAAAAAAATTGTGAGTGTCAATATATAATTACCCTTCATAAATGAGGGAGTTAAGAAGGAGACTGTATATGCGTGTATTTTTACTTTTACTTTTTAATCATTTTCCAATCTCAATGAGAAATTGTATCAACACAATTTTAATGCATAAGTATTTGAATGATAAAAATGAGATATGAAATAAGATGATTAATATTGATGAAGAGAAAATAACATTGTAGAAATTATTCTGAAAATTTGTTGTATAAATAATGGAACTCATCAATAATGGGTTGAGACTTCCAGAAATAAACAGGGAACTGAACCAAATGGGCCCAAACCCAAATTATTCCCTGACATTCACCAGACCAAATGTGACTTTTTTCTTACCAGTTTCCTTTCCTCTAAGATCAAATAATGAGTGACAATCCTGTCAATTTCACAGTCCCTCTTGCAATGTCACATTCTCTATTATTTCCTCAGTCCCACATTCAAAAGCTGAATCATACAATTTTATTTTTTTTCAAGTACTGAATCAATGCAACCCGCAGTGATGAATAAGTGACATAACCCACACACCACACCTCACCGCAAGGAAGCGATAACATCTCAAGTACAGCAGTACTTTACTTTCCACAAGATCAAACCAAACCAATGCATTTGTAGAGTGTCACGAATCATAAACTCTTGGAAAACAATACCAAATCCCAAAGCAATAAGTGGAAAGTTAATCATTACGTGCATGTATATTTACAAACATATACTATACCTCATCGAGCATGCTCACAAGCTTGGACTTCTTCATCTGAAGCTCTTGTCTCTGTGCCGTGCTGAGTTCACCTCCTTGTTTGCCTCCACTATTATTCTCTCCTCCACAGCTCGAACCATCACCAACCCCAGAAGTGGATTCAATATTCCCCTTCATCTTCTCTTTCTTAGCCCCTTCCATAGATTCCTCCCCTTTGGAGATTCCCTTACCCACATTCACAACTTCATCAAGAAGCTCCTGCGTGGATTTCAAATACTTTGAACCCAAAACAACACTATGCACATCGTCGCCGCCGCGGCTCGCCGGAGACACGGCATGAACCTCCCCGGAGAGAGACCTATAAGGTGTTTGTTGTGAAGAGAGGCTCAGTGATAACTGATTAGGCCTATGAAAACCAATCTGCGTCGAAATGGCGGCGACAGATGTCACACATCCCATATTGGATGGGATGTTTTCTGTGGCTGACATTATATTCGATGCAGATTGATCGAACATGGAACTCCATAAGTTATGATGAGCACGAGATGTTGCCGCCGTTGAAACGGCGGGGG